GCGCCCGTATCTACACCCAGCTGGACCCCACCACCTCCTGAGGCAGGCTACGGGTACGGGCTCGCGGCTCACGGAGTGGACCATGGCGGAGGTCCCTACGGCAGCGCCGCCGGCGGGGGATACGGTTTCCACCAATTGCCCGACGGCGGAGGGCTCTATCAGCAGCAAGAAGTGAGCAACGTACCACACTATCCTTCTGCTGCCGGACCGGACGTCCAACAACCGCGAGCCTACGAGGCCTTCGACACCTCGCAGCAGCATGGGCAGCAGCAGCACTACGGTGCACCCCAGGCGACCTCTTCCTCCTCCTCTCTCTCTCCAGCTCCAGGCGACGCTCTACCTCCAGCCGGCAATTCCCCCCTGCATCTCTTCGTGGCATGTGGCGTGTGCCCTCGAGGCAAGTCTGAGATTGGTTTTGAGAAGGATGTTGGTTTTTCGAAGTCTGACGTGTTCACGAGTGCGGAGTCTCATGTGTCAATGCCTGGTGTTCCCCGCGTGCCTGCTGTGCATGAACGTTCTGATGATGAGTTCGGTGTCTTGAAGTTTGGTGTGTCTACTCATGATGTACCCCGCATGCCCGCTGCACTTGAGAGTCCTGANTGGTGTGTCTACTCATGATGTACCCCGCGTGTCCGCTGCACTTGAGAGTCCTGATGAAGTGGTCGGCGTTCCGGAGTGTGATGCATCTATCCCTGCTCCATCAAGTGTGCCTGGAAAGGTTGTCGTAGCCCGTTTCACCCGCCGTCCCACGGTTGAGAAAGCTTTCTTGTGCCAACCCTCCATGCCGAATCCGATTGGTAGCGAACAATGGCAGGCCGATTCTGGAGCCAGTGCGATGATTACTAACAAAGTGGATGCAATGTACAATGTACGCCACTTGGGCCCGGATGAACGATTTATTCAGATTGGAGACTCGACTCTCATCAAGGTTGCCGCTGTAGGGAGTTTGGACCTTAGGTTCCATCAAATCGGAGCCGACGGGAAACAGGAGGATTTGGCCGTTACTGGGCCAGAAGGTTTGTTTGTACACGGGTGTGGTTTCAACCTTGTCTCGGTATGGAAGGTGTCTCACAAGCATGAGGTCCGTATCAACCCCAACAATACGCAAATGATGCACGGAAAACTGCGTTTTATTCGTGGCGTTTCGAGCGATTCCCTTTTTGCAACCCGCCTTCCCCACAAATACCTTCCTTCTATGGACGTTGCGAATGAGAGTGCCCGTGAAAGTTATATTTCCTTTGTGGCATCGGCTTTTACAGCCGCGATGGATTCCGATCTAGAACCCCCCCGTGTGACGGATGCTGTAGCGGAATACTCGGCGAAGATGATTGATGTGTGGGAGAGTGAAGAGCGTGAACGCGCCATGGCTGTGTTGGGTCCGGGGAAGACACCTTTCAATGTCGGCAATGCACAAAAGGTTATGGATATTAACACGTTCCACAACCGTGCCGGCCACTTGTCCGAACCCATTTTGAGACTGTCCGCGAAGCAGCACGGGATTACCCCCACGGGCACGATGGACAGCTGTCGATGGTGCTTGCCGGCGCGAGGGACGAGGGCGCCGGTGCCGAAGCAGGGGGGCGGGTACCGCG